AGGGAGCTGCTCTAGGGCAGTGCGGTCGCGAAACAAACAGCGGGAAGCACCTGAGTCCAGTGTGAAGGTGTGCAGTGCCTCAGTAGGTGCAGTACCAGCAGACGCAGACGCACTAGCACCTAGGGCAGCAGCCTCACCAGGACCTGGAGCAGCAGACGCGCTAGCACCTAGAGCTGCAGCCTCACTGGTCCCAATACCTGGGTCGGGCGGTACACTCAGGAAACAGTCACCCTCAACACTAATAGTCAATGCATACATAGCAGCAAGGATAGCATCATAATCAAGAGCAAAGATATCAATCCCCTTCCTAAGCAGATCAGCCCAGCGGGGCAGCTCAGAGGCGCCAGGGAACTACTCGCGCCAGGCGTCGTCGAGGCGAAAGAAACAGCGCTGCGCCGTGTGAAACTTCCCACAATTCTGGCCAGTGCGGTCACCTGTGCGGATGACGTACGGGCAGGTACCTCCACCCCCAGACCCCCCACGCTGAAAGTACCACTCACGGAGCTGCTGGGGCGAGGGAGTCTCGCCGGGACGCTGCTGCTGCTGCTGCCTCTGGCCACCGCCGAACCCCCCACGCTGCACCGCTCCACCGCGCCCGCCACCCGCTCCACCGCCGCCACCACTGCCACCACCGCCCCCACCACCCCCACCACCGCCGCCGCCACTACCCCCTGTGCCGCCACTGACCCCCCCACCACCCGCGACACTTCCACCCCCGCCACCACCCTCGCCCCCCCCACCCCCTCCACCGCCGCCGGCCCCGCCTCCACCTCCACCACCCCTGCCCCCCTTGCCCCTGCCGCCCTTGCGCCTCCCACTAGGAGCAGACACGGCCCCGACCCCCTCAGCTCCGAGGTAGTCGACAGCAGTAGTAGATGCAATGGAGGGGAGGAGGGGGGAGGGGGAGCACCCCTCAAAGAAGGGGGTGCGGGGGTCACCACGAGAGGCACCTACAGCTACAATGCTTTTCTTAGCTGCTAGGAGTTCCTTTTCGAGGAGGTCGACAGTGAAGTCAGTGGGGGAGAGGGCGAGAAACTGGTCCCTGACAGTGCGAAGGGAGTCAGGGAGGCGGGTGACAAGGTGGTACAGTGTGAGGTACATCGGGGGGGGGGGTTCTTGGCGAGGAAATCGGGGGGGAGCGCGGCACGGTAGCGGAGGTCACTGGTACGGAGGTGGGTGATGAGGTCAGCTACAGTGGCAAACGCGGACAGGTCGGGGAAGAGGTAGGGCAGTGAGAGACGGCCTATAGCAGCAGTGGCAGGGGAGGAGTAGCGTGCGACTACTGCGTCGTACAGCTTCTTAGCGGTCTTATGCTGGCCGAAGTGCTCGCGCTCATCTAACGGCAGGTGGCTGCGAACGGCTAGGCGAGCGTGAGCATCACGGGTCTGCCACTGGGAGCGAGCAGTAATGTCAGCAGTAGTGGGAGGTGCGGGAGCAGCGCCGGACGTGTGGTCATAGAGGGAAACATCGTCCTTGACAGTGATCTGGAGGTACAGGTGAAGGTCATCAAGCCAGACATCGAACTTAATCGGGCGGCCCTCGGCGTCAAAGGTGAGAACAGTGGGACTGGCCATAGTGGCAGTAGCAGGAGTAGCAGTAGTAGTAGCAGTAGTAGCAGTAGTAGTAGCAGTAGTAGCAGTAGCAGCAGTAGCAGTGGGAGCAGGAGGAGCAGGTGCAGCAGGTAGGGCGGCGCGGCTCGGTCAGGACGGCGCGGCTCGGTCAGGGCGGCGCGACTCAGGCGGCGCGACTCGGGCGGCGCGACTCGGGCGACGCGGCTCGGGCAGGTAAGGCGGCGCGACGGCGGGCCTAGGTTCGGTGCGCGGCGGCGCCTAGGGTGCAGCTGCGCGCGGGCCGCGGCTGCGTTCTAGCGGCGGCTAAGCGCGAGCTGCAGCAGCCGACGCGCGATCGCCGCGGCGCGCTGGCTGCAACCTAGGGGCGGGCGACTGCGGGCGGGCGGCTGTGGGTCGCGCGTCAGCCTAGGGGCGAGCGGGGCCTACGAGCGACGGCCTGCTGGGGCTCGCGAGAAAAAATCGGGCCGCCCTAGGCGGCGGTTTTCCTACGCGCGCTAAAACGGCGGGGCCGCGCTCGGGCTGCTAGCGGGCTGCAAACGGGCAGCGTGAGAGGAGAGCGCACGAGGGCGCACTAGGGGAGAGGCGCACGAGGGCGCTAAAAAAAGGGCGCACGAGGGCACCTCTAGCGGAACGGTGGGCCCTTAGGTCTAGAACCTAAGCTCTTAATACCATGTCAGAATCCAAGAAGTGATTGAACTATGAAACATTGGAGTACAAGTATGAAACCCTAGAGCTGTGTACCCCCTAAAGGCTAACCCACTATAGCCTATACAGCAATAACACATATATAATGTTTGACAAGGGGCCATGTGAACATGGAGCAGGAGTGCGTGGGGGGGACGTTGTGAGTGAAGCAAGGAGGACAGCACCAGGGGGGGGTGGTATGGGCTGGTGGAGGGGAGCAGTGGGGTGGTGGTGGCATGGTCAGGGAAGAGAGGAGGGAAGGGAGGCGGAGGGTGGAGTTGGCAAGTGGTGTATGGTGCTGGTGACATGTGAGGACACGGGGTGTGGCATCGCAGAGGAGGAGCAGCGCGACGTGTTTCAGGCGTTCATGCAGGTGAGCCCTGCCCCTCATTCAGGTGAGCTCTGAGTATGTGCGTAGAGGCACTAAGGCGTTCATGCAGGTGAGCTGTGCCCCTCATGCAGGTGAGTCCTGCCCCTCATGCAGGTGAGTCCTGCCTCTCATGCAACTCGCCTCATGCCACACACCTGATGCAACTCGAATCGAGGACTCGATGGAGAGGCGACATTTACCGCTCAAGCAGACGCACTAAAGAGGCACACAGTCGTCCATTTGCACTCTAGTTTCCCAACACTCTGAGTCGCCCGTTCTCTTGCTTCTCACTCCACCCAACCCATCAGACCCGTGCGCATGGAGGCAGCGGCATGAGCCTGCACTTGTGCCGACAGCTGGTGAGTCATTTTCAACAATTGCCATGTCTTGTCAACAGTTACCATGTCTTATTAATAGTTGCCATGTCTTATGAACAGTTGCCATGTCTTATTAATAGGTGCCATTTCTTCTACCAATTGTCAGGCCTTATTAACAGTTACCATGTCTCATTAATAGTTGCCATGTCTTATGAACAGTTGCCATGTCTTATTAATAGTTGCCATTTCTTTTACCAATTGTCAGGCCTTATTAACAATTGCCATGTCTTATTAACAGTTGCCATGTCTTATTAATAGTTGCCATGTCCTATTAACAGTTGCCATGTCTTATTAACAGCTGCCATGTCTTATTAACAGTTGCCATGTCTTATTAACAGTTGCCATGTCTTCTTAACAGTTGCCACGTCTTATTAACAGCTGCCATGTCCTATTAACAGTTGCCACATCTTATTAACAGTTGCCATGTCTTATTAACGGTTGCCATGTCTTCTGAATAGTTGCCATGTCTTATTAACAGTTGCCATGTCCTATTAACGGTTGCCACGTCTTATTAACAGTTGCCATGTCTTATTAACAGTTGCCATGTCAACAGTTGCCATGTCCTATTAACAGTTGCCATGTCTTATTAACAGTTGCCATGTCTTATTAATAGTTACCATGTCTTATTAATAGTTGCCATTTCTTTTACTAATTGTCAGGCCTTATTAACAGTTGCCATGTCTTATTAACAGCTGCCATGTCCTATTAACAGTTGCCATGTCTTATTAATAGTTGCCATGTCTTATTAACAGTTGCCATGTATTCTTAATGATTGCCATGTCGTTCTAACAATTGCCATGTCTTATTAACAGATGCCATGTCCTATTAACAGTTGCCATGTCTTATAAACAATTGTCGTGTCTTATTAACAGTTGCCATGTCCTATTAACGGTTGCCATATCTTATTAACAGTTGCCATGTCCTATTAACAGTGGCCATGTCTTGTTAACAGTTGCCATGTCTTATTAGCAATTGCCATGTCTTATTTGCAGTTGCCATGTCCAATTAACAGTGGCCATGTCTTATGAACAGTTGCCATGTCTTATTAACAGTTGCCATGCATTATTAACAGTTGCCATGTCATATTAACAGTTGCCATGCCTTATTAACAGTTGCCATGTCTTTTTAACAGTTGCCATGCCTTACTAGCAGTTGCAATGTCTTGTTAACAGTAGCCATGTCTAATTAACAGTTGCCATGTCTTATTAACAGTTGCCATGTCTTATTAACAGTTGCCATGTCTTATTAATAGTTGCCATGTCTTGTTAACAGTTGCCATGTCTTATTAACAATTGACATGTTTTATTAACAGTTGCCATGTCTTGTTAACAGTTGCCATGTATTACTAACAGTTCTAGCAGGGTGGCCAGGTCTTTATAGGCAATTCAACGGGGTACTTCCTGAGACCATTAGAACTCTCTTATCGCCCTTTCATGCACGTTCTGCAAATGTTAACTCTTAACAAGATATTTGCTTCCAGCTCTCCATGATCTGACCGCGCTGCACAGTCACACTCATTTACACTCATCCACATGGAGATGCCGGATGTGACTTCATCCCCACACCTCCTCCCCGTACCTCCTCCTCTCCCCTCCCTCCCACCCCCCGTGGCAGGTGTCGCTGATGGGGGGCAACATAGGGCTGATCAGCACAGAGGGTCACGGCACCACGCTGCACGTCGCTCTGGCCATGCCTTTTGCTGCTGCCACTGCTGCTGTTGCTGTGTATGGCAACTCTACTTCAGCCCGCACGAATGTTCCTGGGCCGGCGACGACTTGTGCTACTTCTTCCTCTACTGCTGCGACCGATGACACAGCTGTGCCAAGGGTTGTGGAGATGAATAGTGTGAGGGATTGTTTGAAGGAGCTGCTGCAGGGCAAGGCAATTTTGGTGAGATGAAGGACAAAGTCTTTTAAGCCGACCGACTCTAGACCTGAAGAATTATCGTGTTTTTGTAGGGGTTGCTGCAGGATGTTGATTATGCAGGCTAGCCGCAAAATGCTCCTGTGTCTCCTGGTCTGTTTTTACTCACCGCACTCCCCACAACTCGCCCTGCCTTCTCCTCACCACCCTCCCACAACCCACCCCGCCCTCTCCTTGTCCCGTGGGTGGACAGCAATGTGCTCAACCTGCTCATACCTCCCACGAAGCTTCCTTTACCTTCCTTCCCTCACACAGCTGAAAGCAAGATCTGTGGTCTTCTCTTCCTATGTGTGTCAGCCCTTCTCCTTTCCCCCCCCAACTCCGCCCCTGCGTTCTCATCCCCACTACACCCACCCTGCATGCCCCTCGTGCCTGGCTGCACCAGGTGGTAGACAGCAACGCTATCAACTGCATGCCATCTCTGCCCTCCATGTTCATCCCCTCTCTCACACCCGTCCCTGTACCCCATGTGCTGTGCAGGTGGTGGACAACAACGCCATCAGCCGGCGGGTGGCATGTCATTTCCGTCCTTCCGTTCTCATCCAATTCGGGGCTCTATTGGACCTACCCATGTGCTATGCAGATGGTGGACGACAACTCCATCAACCGGCGACAAGAGCATGGCATCTCCATGCCTCCGTTCTCATCCCCTTTCAACCCCGCTGCATGCCCTTGGCTCTGCCTGTGCAGGTGGTGGACGACAACGCCATGCACCCCTCCATGTACCCTCTCTATCCAGCAAGTAGTGGGCGACAACGGCACCTCCGTCCCTGTGTTCTCACCCCTCTCAACCCCCCTGAACCCCCCACACACAGGTGGTGGACGACAACGCGATCAACCAGCGGGTGGCAGCGAGCACGCTGGCGCAGTACGGGGCGGAGGTGGCGCTGGCAGAGTCGGGCGAGGCGGCGCTGCGCCTGCTGTAGGCAACCCACTCCTTCCGCCTCGTGCTCATGGACCTCCTCATGCCGGGCCTCGACGGCTTCCAGACCACCGCCTGCCTGCACGCATTTGAGGCCCACACTGCCCAAGCAGGCGTGCAAATGGGACAGGGAGCTTGGCAGTCGCAGCAACGCATTCATGTGGTGGCCATGCCGGCAGATGTGGTCAGAAGTGCTGTCGCACGTGCCACAGAGGCTGGCATGGATGGTGCAGTGCAGAAGCCACTCGATGAGAGGCTGCTATTGCAAGTGCTCTCAACACTAAATGGTTGGTAACTCCAATCATCAGTAATTGTATCTGCGTCACTGTCCCTGTTTACTTCTACATGGTATCCGTATATTTATTGTTTGATTTATCCATTATTTGATGCATACAGTACTATTTGCAATTTACATGGAGCGCCTGGGCCACATCTGATGAGCGTCAATTGTCAACGAGTAGGCCCTCATACTGGTGTTGGGGCACCTTGAATACTCATGGTCCCAATGAGGTCAAACAAATTATCACAACAATAGCAGCAACAACAGCATCAACAACAACAGCAACAATAGCAGAAACAATAACAGCAACAACAATAACAGCAGCAGCAGCAGCTGCAGCAGCCGACCTTCTATCGGTACTCCTCTTCCACACGATCTGGAAGTCTTAGTCGTTGAACGTCAGCTCTGCGTAGGCGTTGACATAGACCGGCGTCTTCAGACGCCGACCATTCTGCTCCTCGTCGATGATGCGCATACGCAGCTTGTCAACATAGGACTGTTGGTGGAGGCAGAACTTCTGCGCAAGTCGGTCACGCACAATCTCCTCGCCGGGCTGATCTCGCGCAGCGATTTCCGAAAATCTCGCAACTCTTTCAGCATTTCAAGGTTGCTGCTGGCGGCGAGCATATTGTTGACGTAGACGACCACCCAGTACACCACTCCGTTGTCGGAGACCTTGAAGTAAAGAGCCTCGTCGACCTGGCTCTCGCCCCACCTGGCGCCGATCAGCACATCGTCGAGTCCCAAGTACCACAGCAGTGGTGACCGCTTGAGACCTTACAAGCTGTTCAGCAGATAGCGCACACGGCTGGTGCTGTCATTGTAGTAGTCAGGCTGGTCCATGTAGAGAACTCGGTCGAGCTTGCTTTTGAGGAAGGCGTTCTTCATGTTGAGCTGCACCAGATGCGGTTCGAGGATGACTACGATGCTTAGGAAGGTCCGCAACGTGACGTAGTGCTTAACACATGCGTGAAGCCTTTCACCAGGGGTGCCTTCTTGTGGGCGACCGTGTTGTGCTGTTCGTCAAGCTCCCACGTGCCGTAAATGAGGAGGCTCCGAATTTCCTCGTCCATCGCCGCTTTCACCGCCTTGCCCTTCCAGCTCGCCAGTGCCTCCTTGACCGTCATGGTCGCGATATCCTAACAATGATCCGGGACGGCGTGCACGTCGGGGTCGAGCTCGGGCGGGCCGACGTCGGGTTGCGTATCTTCGAGCAGCGTGTTGTAGGCGACCGCCGGGCAAGCATATTGTCTGAAGAGATATTTGCATATATTTATATGTGATTGCATGTAGCAAATTGTTTCTATATAACGTTGGTGGTGCACCTTCTTGTTTGCTTTCTTGTTTCTATTTGTACTCTCAATCTTATATTGAAACTTTTTTTTCCCAACTTTCTCACAACCCTAACTCCCTCAACGTTCCTAAGCTTAACACCTGGTCCGTTATTTGACATGGTATCGAGCATGGTTTCGTCCTAGGCTGTTCAACTTTTTTATTAGTCATGGCCCTCATCACCCCTTCATGTGCATGCTGGTGCAAATCTCGTGCGCTCGTCATGTCACTCAGCGCGACGGACACGACGAATACGATGGCGAGTTTCGTCGGCTCGCTGTCTCCCCCCTGCACTACCGCCTACGTCCGCCCATCAACTGGCTCCATAATGCCCTCATGCAGGCCTCCCGTTCCGCCCCTGCACTTGACCCCGCCCGCCCTCCTAATCTTCTCTGCTGCTCCCGCAAATGACCCTTCTCTCTATCTCGGCTGACCCTTTCTTCCTTGTTTGCCCTAGCCTTCTGCATCTTTGCTTACGTCGACGGCCCAATGTTTGCTACTCCCGACAGAGCTGCACTAGCCTCAGTGAAGGCCGAATTGTAGAGGAGACACACCTGCACTGACCTGGGTGAATTGCAACGCTATCTTGGCTTGCAGATCACTCGATATAGAACAGCTCGCACCATTACACTGACTTAGTCGCACATGGTGCAGCGGATCTTCGCATGGTTCGACATTTGCTTCTTTTCTCCATAGTCCACCCCACTTGCTGTTGACCATGGACTCACGGCTCCTGCTCTTGACAAGCCAGCTGAGCCTAGTAGTCACTTTTTTGAGCTAGAGGGTTGCCTCATCTCGCAAATCACTCAGCTGTGAAGAAACAAGAATGAATGAACTAGCACAAGGTTGGGTACAAGTAGGAAACCCTAGGAAACTGTACCCCATAGTGTCTACCCCACTATAGCCTAGACAAGCTATACAATATGAGTTTGACACACCCCCATAGGCAAAGTGGGGGAGAACAAGAGGTCACAAGACCAGTCAAGCAAAGCAAAGCAAGCTCAGGGTGGATCACAACGTCACCACACAATCCGAGCACAAGAGCAAGGCCAAAAGGCCAGTTCACAAGCAAGATCATATATAAAGGTAAACAAGCAAGTGCAGGTATAGAAAGATCACAGTACAAGCAAGGTCAAGAAGTGAGCAAGTGAGGCCAAGTAGGCACAAGACCTAGCATAGTACAGAAGCGCTGATGATCACCAGGCGGAAGTGCCTTGGTGAAGATATCAGCAGTGTTGGCCTCAGAGGCCACATAAGCAAGGCGCAGCTGACCACGCTGCTGCAGCTCACGAGCAAGGAAGTAGCGGAGAGCAATGTGCTTCGTTCTGTGCGCCAGTCTGTGCTCCCGACACAAGGCCAGCATGGCCTTGTTGTCTACGTACAGAACTGGAGGAGAACGAGGCTGCTCTCCTAGGTCAGTCAGCAGGTAGGTGAGCCAGCGTAGCTCCTGTGCAGCCATGGCCCCCGCGTAGATCTCAGCCTCACAGCTGGAGCCGAGAACAGAAGACGAGCGGGTAGACCGCCACGAAACAGAGCCGGAGCCAAGGCTGAAGGTGTAACCCTGTGAGGACCGCTGCGTAGCCTGGTCGTCAGCCCAAGAAGCATCTGCGTGACCTGTGAGGACCACTCGACGTCGCCCTCCAAGCACTAGCCCCATGCCCGACGTACTACACAAGTAGCGCAACACCCTCTTCGCTGCAGCCATGTGCTCTGGTCGGTGTCTCCCAGGAGCAACATAGCGTGCCAAGATGCTAAGAGGGTATGCAAGGTCAGGTCGAGTGCAGGTCATCAGGTACATGAGGCAGCCAACAAGCTCTGGGTACGGGCCACTCGGCTATACGGACTCATCCGAAGGCAGAGGTGAGAGCGAGTGGCGAGTAGACAGAGGAGTGGCCTGAGGCGAGGAGTACGTGAAGTCGAAGCGCTGAAGGACCTGCTGCACCATGTGTGACTGAGTCAGGGTAATGGTGCGCTGTGCTCTGTCCCGGGTGATCTGCAAGCCAAGGTAGCTGCGCAGTTCACCCAGGTCTGTGCACGTGTGTCTCTTCTGCAGCTCGGACTTCACGTGGGCTAGTCCAGCAGTGTCAGCAGTGGCAAAGACCAAGTCGTCGACGTACACGAGGATGTAGAACGGCGGCAAAGAGGTGTCGGTGCGCAGAAACAGCGACGGGTCGGCAGTAGAAGGAGCAAACCCAAGAGCCGCAAGTGTAGTCCTCAGTGTGTCGTGCCACTCACGGGGCGCCTGGCGGAGACCGTAGACTGGCCGCCGGAGGCTCCACTGGGTACCAGGAGGAAACGACCCAGTGAAGCCAGGTGGGCGGCGCAGCCAGATCTCCTTGTGCAAGCTGCCCTGAAGGAAAGCTGTGCTGAAGTCAAGAGAGTGGAGCTCGTAGTCGCGCTGAGCGGCTATGTGCAGCAGCACCCGAAGAGTGGTCATCTTCGGGGTGGGAGAGAAGGTCTGAAAGTAGTCAACTCCCTGCCGCTGACTGAAGCCTCGAGCCACGTAACGCGCCTTGAAGACAGGCGGAGAACCCGGCGGCCGCTTCACCCTGAAAATCCACATGCCACTGACGATGTTCGCCCAAGGTGGGGGAACCTCGTCGACGTAGGTGCCTGTGGACTTCTAGGAAGCCATCTCTGCGTCCATGGCTGACTGCCACTGAGAGGAGTAGGGACCCTCGATCGCCTCAGCGTACGATCGAGGAGTCGGGATGTCTGGTGCATCCGGGTCTCCCTCAGGGGCAATCAGCGTGGACACGAGATGAGGCAAAGCAGCAGCAAAACACTGGAACTCCTCCTGCCTGTCCTCAAGGACGTCCGTGCTAAGAGCACACTCACCCCCGACGGACGGAGGACAGACAGACTCAGACTCAGCAACAAGACTAGCGGCGTAGTCGAGACGACAGCGAGCAGCAAAGTCGACAAGCTCAGCCACTAAGGCAGACGCAGCAGTGGACTCAAAGGAAGGGTCAGTGACAACAGTAGCCAGGAGACGCGTGACAGTAGGACTGGTAGCACGAAGAGAGTCAGACTCCGGGTCAGCAAGAGCAAGAAGAGAGGACTCTGGAGGAGACGGCAACGGGACACGCAGGGGAGCAGTGGAAGGACGCAGTGCCATCTGGTGTGTGCCTGGGACCGCAGGAGGACGCGGAGCACGACGACTAGTGCGAGCAGGACGAACAGGCGACGCAGGACGAAACGCAGGCTCACGACGCTCAGCAGGACCTCCAGTAGGACCAGTGTAGGGAGAAGGAGCAGGTAGGGGGGAGGCAGGCTGTAACTGTGACTGCGGCTGGACAGGCTGCGGACACTCCAAGGGAGGAGCAGGACCAGTAGAAGGCGGGAGACCAAGAACCTGCTCAAGGAGCGGAACGAAGTACAGCCGCGGCCGC